CTAATTAACTGCTCAGTATCAGTACTATAAGAATACTTATTATAAGAACAGAGAGTCATTGTCAGAAACATATATAATATAATAGATAAATAACAGATAGAAGATATTAAATAAGAGAAGAAACAGAAATCTTAAATGAGATAATACTATTCAATGATAACAATAATGAAGAAGATAATTAAAGAATGAGAAAAGTTAGTAAATAAGTGAATATAATATAGTGAAAGTTTCTTTATAAGAGTGTACACAGAATACTAGTTAAATTAGAGATAAATTATATAATTATGAATACTAGTAACATGCTAATCTATATAAAGCTAGAATGAATATTATAATTATATAAGTGTGATCAAATCTAATAAAGAAGAATATAATTTGAAAGAATATATAACTATCAGATAATAACACAGCTGCTTCTGAACTTGCTTATAAATATAAAGAGATTATAGTAGCCATCAATTAATTTAGTGTATAGTATATAAGAAGTCAGTGTATATCTGTAATTGTATACTAACTTAAGTAATCTTTGAATCACATCTACATCTGTTACTCTGATATTTTCTCATTTCTCTGTCTTGAAAATATATATTCTTTTATTAAGTCAGACATTCTCTCAGATCTGAGATTAATTATGAATTTAGATAATCAGTAAATTATCTAGGCATGCTTGTAATAATGTGTGAAGATGTCAATTTAACATGTTATTGCAGTTCTTAAAGCTTGTGAAGAGCTTTATAATCTCTTGAAGAATAACATTGTTATGTGTGTAATCTATATACGCGAGTTACACTTAATAGGGTTGGGGTGGCACGTGACTAGGGTAGGTGTAGTAATTTGTAGGCTACTGGGGCAAAAGAGCTCAATCACCACCAGCGCCTGCTGGTAGAAGGGCCGACCAACCGCGGGACCCCCAACATAATTGTAGGCTACTGGGGCAAAACAGCTCAGTCACCACCAGCGCTGCTGGTAGAAGGGCTGATCAACCCCTGAGACCCCCAACACCCCCCCTCGGACCAGCTAACCACAGAGTACAGTACTCCTCTCAGTGGCTCCTCTCAGTGGCTCCTCTTAGTGGCTCCTCTCAGTGAACTCACTCCTAGGGCTCAAGGGCTCACTTCTAGGGCACACTCCTAGAATGTCTCTTGGCACTGTTAAATGTCTGGGGTATTTGTTTTGTGATTTATATTCTTAAGTTCATTCTGAGATTGAACCCATGCATGTTGATCACAGCAGGGCTCACGCTTAACGGTCTCATAACCTGTAGACTACTGGGGCAAAAGAGCTCAGTCACCACCAGCGCTGCTGGTAGAAGGGCCGATCAACCCCTGGGACCCCCAACAGTAATCACCAACATTATGTGGCAGCATGTGAGGCCCTGCTGGGCCCTCACTTAAGATGCTTAATTAGACTAGATCTAGACCAGTTGCATAGCGCCCGTACGGGATGCAGACACCAACCTAAAGATGTAATCAATCAATCAATCAATCAATCCCAAACAATACCTTCAACAACCGCTAAAGAAATTAATGTCGGGCATGCGGGACCGACCCCGTCTCATACGCAAATCGTGCCCCATATATAAGAATAAAGTTGAGTGCCGAATAAGCTCCCGGTAGGCTATTGTACATGTACATGTACATGTACAATGTAAGCTTACATATTTCACAGTGAACTATTCCCCTCCGATCAGTCGATCATCGATTTCAGACAGTCCTTACTATTGCCCAAGCAAAAGAGCCAATGGCACAAAGAGGTACACGAAAATAGTATATTAATAAATCAATAAAACAAATCATCATTTCCCTTTTTGACCATCCCAGTACACCACGCAGCTTGCCTGTAGGAAGAACAAGAGACTCAGGGTCAAAAGGCAGAGGCAAAAGCCGCTTCTAAAGATATCTGTCAAAAAAAGGAAAAAAAAAGGTAGGAAGGAGGAGACAGGTAAGAATAAATCGGTCTACCCTCTTTATGTTACGTCTCAAGAACATGCGATCGAATAAATACGTCAGACCTCCTTTTCCCCCTCTCTTTCTCTTTCCCTTCACATTTCTACAGGACATGCTGTGGCTGGAATATCGATGCTTCAACCCACTTCTTCTGTGCTTGACTGATATATGCCGACTTGGCATCCTGACTGCTGTGCCAGTCATCCAGGAGGTGAAGGCCTGCGAGGGCAACCTCAAGAGACGTGGTTTCAAGGTCGACGGTAGAGAGAAGCTCCTGCTCTCCCTGGGATTTTGAGTCAGGGTTTAGGAGCTGGCGGACAGAGAGAGCAGCTTGAACATGCGCAGCACTAGATTTGTGCGCGGAAAGGAATGACTCATTCCAACTTGTTAGGTCTTGGGTTTTTGGGAGAAGCGGGTCAAAATCTGCGGTGATAACCTCGGACACACGGGAGGGCAGAGGTTCCGAGAGTGTGTCAATCGTTTTTCGGAAGCGTGCCAATTGGATGTGCAGAGTGGGGTTTTGGGGATCGATGGAGTGGGCGGCAAGCAGACATTTTAGAGACAGAAGAAATTTATCTGTAGCGTTGAGTTAGCAAAGGTACGGAAATAATAGGGGTTTACTAGAAACGTACTTCTTCTGATGTAGACTTCAAAGCCAGCTGTCTGCACTTCTATATTTCTGGGTGAAAATTCCAACAAGGGGGTCAAGAATTTCATGGAGTCCTTTAATGGCTCGGTGGTCCGAACAAGTTTTGTCCCCAATGGGTCAGGGTCCTCCTTTTTCGTTTCCCTGTCACCTCCTTTAGTGCTGCTAGCCTTCTTGAGATCCCGTTTCTCCGCTTCCGCCTTCTCCATCCTCAGCTGCTCACGCTTGGCTTTCTTGAGGGCTTTCTTCCGCTCCGCGCTGTCGACCTCTCCAGTCTGATTTCCATTCATTCCGCGAGGGATTGGACCATGGACTAAATCCGGTTGATCATGTAGCAATAGGTAAGCCTTGACAGCCGCGAGCGCGCTTCGAGTGTAATATGGGTGGTCTCGCAGGTGGTCCTCCCATCGGATCATATCGACGTATGCGCGGATCATTCCTTTCCTTAGGGAGAAACTGTGGAAATCGAATTGGTCTTCATACCATACATCGAAAATGTTGTGGACAGCGTGGAATCTTTTCAACGCCAGTCCAAGCTTTCTTTGACGCAGGTAGGACTCTCCATCTTCGGTCAGGTACCAAACGCATTGCATCTCGTGAAGGTCACCCAGAGTTCCACCCACTGTCTCGTTTCGCGTAAATTTACTCATGTTGTCAAGGGCCTTTTCGTTTTCATCGTTCCGGAGTTGATATTTGGCCGCTTTGGAGTTAATATAACGGTCCTTTTCATCTAATGATCGAGCTATCTCCATAAATTCGACGGCTTTTGGGATATTGCCAAAGTGTTTCCATATTCTGGCTTTCGTCATGTGATAGTCAACGGATTTTGGAGATAATGTGATTGCTTTCTCGATATACTCCACGGCTTTCTCCAGGTTGCGGCTAAGATGATAATTGTAATGCTGTGCAAGGAAATAGTAAACCGAACTTTCGAACACAGAGGCGTCACCTTTTGTTTGGTTCTCTGCTGACCCATTCATTTGCGACCCAAGTTGGCCGCTTGCATATCCCTCAACAAGTTCCTGGATGATGTCCCGCTTCGCGCTGTTTGTGTATAAGAACTTGATATTCGCAAAAGTAGATGGAATACCTCTCCGAAGCATTCGTTGAAGATAATTGTCTGCTGCGTCTCGGAAATCCTGGCCTTCTAGAAAGTCTAGAGGAATTCTGCGAGCCGCATCTCCCCTTGGATTTTTCTCGGCCCATTCATCGAATATGGCCTTTAGCGTTTTATGGTCGGACTTATCGATATCTTTCGCTTTGATCAAAGCTTCGTAGTAATTTGAGTTTTCCGAGTTTCTCTCCAACAGAGCCTCGTAAGCAGCCGCTGCCTCTTCTTTCCTGCCAAGACGTAATAGATAATCTGCACGCATTTCCATCACGGCAAGTACATCGAAACAGCCTTTGCCCACTTCGTCGAGATGTTCCAGTGCCCTTTCCAGATTCCCAGACTCAGCAATTATAGAATTCTTGTAGAGAACGGCTTCTGAATGATCCATATCAGTTCTCGGGGGCGGCGTTTTCAGTGTTTGCTCGTAAGTCGTAAGAACGTTTTCAGCTTCCGTCAAATTTCCCGCGAGATGATGAGCAATGGCAAGGGCGGTCCAGTTTTGGCGGAAGCCTGGCTTTTGTTGCAGCATAGTCGTCCTACTTTGAACATAGCCTTGATAATCGCGCATTTGGGCTTGGAGGAGAGCTAGATCTCGCTGTATCGCTTGGGACTCCGGGTCAAACTTTAGAGCGGTTTTGTAGGCTTTGATGGCTTCGTCATAATTCTTATCCGCGCGATATAACAACCCGTAGACATGCCAACAGATGTGGGATTTAAAATGATTTGTAATCGCCAGCCTTGCCAGGGCAAACGCTTCCTCCTGTTGCCCTTGATTGCTGAGTATCAGGGCTTTCATCGCCTGGGTTTCTCCATGCTTCGGGTTCCTTCGGAGGACCTGATCCGCAGCCTTTATGCCTGTTCGAACCGAGTTAGAGAGTCGCACCTGGAAAAAGCTAGCCTAATAAAACGGTAGGAACGCACCTTTTTTGTACTGTTTACTTTCACAAAGACGGACGACTTGGCGGAACAGCGACTGGTCCTTCGTGCTCAATGGCGGGGGATCCATTACGGCTGGTTTTGGCTGGACGGATTTTACCCGTCCAGTGATAGGAGCGGAATTGATGACGGCGGGGAGAAGTTCGTCAGGGGAGAGCAGAGGCTATAAAAGACGGGAAATTGTTTCAATTGGTCGCAATAGTGACTGTTGGAAAGGTCGAATTATGAATGTCGAAGACTTGAAAGTCTATGCTGCCGGTCAGGCTTAAAAACGTTTATCCGGGGATCGAAGGTCGGTCATGTGACAAGGAGCCCTGTCGTGGAAGCAATTTTGTTTGCAGCTTCACAAAGCAGTTTTGTTCTTGTTTGGAGGTGCTCTATATGTAAATATCAATTAATCGATTTCGGCGGTCCGAAGACTATATTTATTGTCTCATCGGACAAATTGGTTCCGTGGCGGAATAGAGATCACGAGATAAAAAGCCAACGGAGTGAACCAAAGGGACTGACTGATCCTTCGAAACCTCAGTTCATCCTATCCCGTGTATAACAGCCCTCTTTCAGCGCGTTGGGTACTATTTTACGCCTCTACCTCTGAGCCTAGTGATGGATGAACTAGACTCCTCAATCAGGTAACCAGTCTCAATATTCCCAAATCGTGCAGAGTAATGATTGCATTAGGTCTCTCATGAAAGATCAAGGATAGTCACTCAATGTTGAGGTCATACGCCTTAATGAATTTGGTAAGTTCGAACTCGATTGAAGGACATAAGTCATAGGTTCCATATAGCATTTGTGAAGAATGTTGAGTTACATGGCTAATTCTTAGAATAGTTATCAAAATACCGAACTAGTGGAAAACATTGCCTATTAGTTCATAGACGTGCATCATGGTTGTAGAATACTTGACAGTCCGGAACCTTACATCAACCCCGCTTTTATTGAAGCACGTTGAGCGGTTCCTGGCCCCGGACGTCCCAAAGCGCGATATCAAGAAGGTGGCCGAAGCACTACTGAAGAACAATGTGACCAGATCTACATCAGTCGTGGACACTTCGACGCAGAATCCCAAAATTCTTGCTAATCATGATGTGTCAATTCGGATTGAACCATTTACCTCGGTGGTTACGGATATCCGGGCTTTTGACAAGTCAGATAGAGAACGTATGCGTCTGATATTTGAAGCAGAAGGCGAGAGACACCAAATTGAAACCCCTGTATCTACCAAGGAGTCCGCCACATCTAAACCGCTGGCTGCTAATCCCCGTTTCCAATTGACCGGAATCTATATTATCCCGGAATCCCACCTTGCTGTATACTCCTCTGCCAACCTCAATGCTTGGATGCGCGAGCTCAATGACGGAACCTATCTTTCTGCCCTTTCCATTCCCGGTACTCACAACTCCCCAACATGCCATCTAGCTCCTCCCTCAGTTCGCTGTCAGGCTGTTGGGCCCCGAGAACAACTGGAAAACGGCGTTCGATTTTTCGATGTCCGGGTGCAGCCCCAATTTCCCGACGATCCAAGCAAGGACAATCTGGTGCTTGTCCACGGGGCATTCCCGATCTCATTTACGGGGCAAAAATACTTCCGCGATCTCGTTAACGAGGTTGAATCATTCCTTGAGCGCAATCCTTCTGAAACTCTCATTATGTCCGTGAAGCGGGAAGGGCCAGGGAACTCTACCGATGCGCAACTTAGCCGCATTCTCCGGGACCACTATGCGCGAGATGGGAGCCGGTGGTACACCGAACCCAAAGTCCCTACCCTTGGCAAATCTAGGGGTAAGATCGTGTTGATCCGGCGGTTTGCTTTAGAAGATCGGTTGAAGAAAGAATGGAGAGGACGGGGCTGGGGTATCGATGCGGAAGGCTGGGCTGATAATACCCCATTTGCGACATGCCCAAGCGGAGACATTTGCATCCAGGACTTCTACGAGGTACTCGAGAAAGAAAAGATCCAGCAGAAAATAGAGTATATCAATGCTCATTTTGGGAGGGCGGCGGAGCTGTGTTATCCGTGTGGCGTCATTAAGAAGGAAGGAGAAGATAATAGCGACCGTGGTGATCTCAAGCTTCCCTTTTATATAAATTTCCTTAGCGCGAGCAACTTTTGGAAAGTAACGACTTGGCCGGAAAAGATTGCGGCCAAAGTGAATCCAGCTGCAGTGGATTATTTGTGCCGCAAGCATCAAGGGGAGAAGGGGGATTGGTCTACGGGGATTCTGGTGTGCGATTGGGTTGGATTAGGCGGTGACTGGGATCTAGTGAGATGTGTCGTTGGAATGAACGCAAGGCTCATGATGAGACAGAAATAAATTCGGCCAAACAACCACTTGGAGGGTTGTTGCTCCATATTTGGCAAAATAACCAATTATAGGAACAGTGCCAGCATACTGACCGAGGTTTTGAACCGGTTTGGATAAAATATATGATACATAATGTACAGTAGATATAGAGGAAAAAGGTCAGCATGTATCAGAAGAACCAAACCAAAATAAAAACCAGAAACGACCACAAGCTATATCTAGAAGTAGAACAATGAAAAAAAATGGAACAACAAACAAAAGTATATAGTCATCGTCTATTCCTTTAAAGCATCCGTTTGCCCCTCACTCTCGCTCTTAACGTCACTCTCAGGTCCCTTCTGCTCCTCTTCCAAGACGCTCCTCCGGCTCTCAAGAGTAAGATACAGACTCTTACCGGCCGCATCCAACGTCGTAGTAATGCTTGCTCCTGCGCCTTGCAAGAGCGACACAAGTTGAGATCTCAACCCAGTCATGCCACCCTCAATTCCACCAACCCATCTCGTCTGGTCTTGGTCGAACACCTTGCCCTCCACCCTCGCCGCCAACAAAATCAATTTCTTCAATCCCTCCTGGACAGGCAGGTCGTATAGACCGGGATTCAACCTTCGTCCTGGTGCGGGGAACTGTGGCGGCTTGGGTGCCAAAATCGATAGGGCAGCCTTCAAATGCTCCGGGGAAACATGTGGGAAAGTGAGCACAGCAATTGGGCCGATTAGGACATTTGAAAGATCATGTTTGCCCTTTTTGTCCAGTACTGCGGCATAGGCCGTGCGAGAGAGATCATGTGTTAAGTTGGAGTCAGCTTTAGCGGCTGCAATCTTGCCAGGGCCGCGGGGGGTTGTTTCGCCGGGCCGGAAGAAATCCACGACACGCAGAGCAGCCTCGAAAATGCTAGTTTGGATGATTTTAAGTTGAACTAGGGAAGCCAGCGGAGGCTCTGTTCTGCCGGCAGCAGCATTTGCCTCGTCAACTTTTTGTAGAGCTTTTGTAAGCTCGCGACGTATGCCGGCCCATTCTACGGATAGAAGGTTGTTATGCTGGAAAATCAGGATCAGCGGCGTTGTGCGGAGGATGGAAGTGTATTGGCGGTGGAGCTGGGATTTGCGGAACTCAGGGCGGCGGTGCGATGGGGGTTGGTTTGATGGGTATGCTGCAGCAGGGGAAGGAGGTGGCTGTAAAGATGTGGATTTCGATTGGGATGTTTGGCTTATTGTGGATGTCACAACTGCTGCTGCCGCTGTGGCGGCATATCGTCGCGAATATATGAGGACTTCATGCCGAAGGGGGTGTGAGAGGAGGGAAACGGAGAGGCGCAATCGAGGAGGCATTGGAGCGGGAAATCAGCAATTAGAATATTAGAATATTCGGAATAAATGTAGAACACGGCAGATTGTCACTCCTGGCTCAATTGCCATGCGTTTCGAATTCGGAGCCTGATAGATATACGCCGGTACTCTGCTACTGTTCATGGAGAATATTTTTAACCTACAAAAGTTTGGTGGTCGTCAAAGGCGGTGAAGATTCTGTCGCACATTTCAATGACTCCTTTGTCCGACCATTGGTGGGGCAAGGTTACGAGGACGCAACAATCGCATCTTTAATTGCTGCTTTCATATCTTACTTTTACCTAAGAGTGTGCCTAGTTATCAATTTGCCATTTGGGTTCTGGCCGAAAGAATTATTCTGCGTATAACTGGGAACTTCGACGGGAACGAAGCTATGGCGTCGGACAAACCTGACCTGGCGATTTCTATAACACCGCTTCTTACGAGACTCGCTTATCCGGATGCAGCCAAGCATGAGGTTTCTGCAGTAGAGATAGCTGGTGCTTTTGCTCTTATATTTGAGGATAAACTATCTCTCATTCAGACCGCTGCACTTCTCACCCTCCTACATTCAACTGGCAAGGACAGGGATGCCGATGTGTTAGCACAATGCGCAGCTCGGATGAGGGAAGCTGCACTGCCAATTGAGCCGACAGCACTACGGGCATTAGTTAAAGAGCGGGCTAGAAAAGAAGGGTCTTACGAAGGTGGCTTTGTAAGTAAAAGGAATCGATGATTTTATTCTCCGGGAAGAAGTTGTGAAGCAAGCTAATAACATATTTGGCGGAAGTGTGACATTGTTGGGACAGGAGGAGATTCGCATCGAACATTCAACATCTCTACGACTTCCTCCATTATAGCGTCGCCATTGCTCTTGATTGCCAAGCATGGAAATCGGGCCCAAACATCATTTTCAGGCTCTGCGGACGTCTTGACCTCGATCACTCCAACCCCACCAAACATATCTGCGGTCCTGCCTGAGAACATCTGCAAGGTGTACGAGCAGTCGAACTATTGCTTTCTCTTCGCTCCAAATTTCCACACTGGCATGAAGTTTGCAACTCCGGTTCGGAGAGGGTTGGGTATACGAACAATATTCAACCTCCTCGGACCCCTCGCAAACCCCATTGATTGGGGTATTGAGGCTCGTTTGGTTGGCGTAGCATACCAATCCTTGGGGCCAATATTCGCAAACGTCCTGAAGCTCAGCGGAGTCAAGAAGGCGCTGGTAGTATGCGGTGAAGAAGACTTGGATGAAATCAGCTGTGCTGGGAAAACAAACTGCTGGAAACTATCTGAATACCCTAACCCCGAATACGAAGGCAATCCAGACGGTAATGCTGAAGGCGAGGAGACTTGGGATGAGGACGCGCCGCCTAAAACGGTGGTGAAAATCGAAACCTTCCAGCTTCAACCATCGGATTTTGGGTTCTCTCCGCGCCCGCTTTCAGAAGTTGGTGGGGGCAAGAGGCCTGGCGAAAACGCGTTGATACTGATGAGTATGCTCCGTAACGAGCTTCCTCGCGACCACCCCATTTTGGAATTCGTTCTCATGAACGTTGCAGCTCTGTTGGTCATATCTGGCATATGTGACGCTGATACCAGCAATATGGGTCCTGGTGATAACGGGGAAGTTATTAAAGAGGTAGGTCCGGGCGGTGGCCGCTGGAAGGAAGGTATTCGACGGGCGCGCTGGGCGATCGAAAGTGGAGAGGCAGTGAAGAGCTTGGAGAAATTCATCAAGGTATCAAACTCATTGTAGCTGGAATAAGGGGAATTTTGGAAAGATGCTTTGGTAATCTATCTTCTCGGGTCTTGGATGGACCATATTGTCTTATTGAGGTCTTTTTTTTCTCTTTTTTCTTCCCTTTTTCTTTTTTTTTTTTTGTTTTCTTTTTCTTTTTCTTTTCTTTTCTTTTTTTTCGGGGGACTCTAGACATGAACCCATCAGGAATACCAGAACGTTGCATTCGAATATTATTTGAACTTCCGAGGAAGCAAGAAAGTTTTATCACGCTCACTTTCCGAGCTCGTCCGTCCCCCATCTCACGACAACCTTCTTTTTTTTCGGGCATTTCATAAAAATGAAAAATCAAGCATCCCACTCCTTTAGCGCCTGCAGAAAGCTGTTGCAAACTAACAACAGCGAAAGAAAAGCAAACAAATAGCATGTATCCTCCGGTCATAATCCGATTTCGTAATCGCCCAGGGCGTCCAAGAAACGCCGATAAGGGTAGCAGGTAGGCGGTCAGGTATCATCGAGCCTGAAACTGCACCATTCTGTAGATACGCGACGAAAATCCCAGTTAGATCCCAACGGGTCCCAAAACATTTGTAGCCTGGAGAGCAGACGGGATGCAGACGGCAACGAACCTCTTCGTCCTTTCCTTATACAGCACACGATGCCCGCATTCCTTGCAGCGGATCTGATCTCCACGCTTCATAGAAACGCGCGAGTTGCAATCACCGCAAACGTAGGTGACCGATATGGCGTCGCTAGTGGTTCCTTCCACGACGCCCCCTGCGCCAGTGTACCCAGTCTGGCCCGTAGGGACTTGGTAGGCTTCGCGAGACATGGTTGTATATGGAGGTGAGCGGTATGCGCGTGAGTGGTAAGGAGCAGACTGCGAGCTTGGAGCGTAGGACGTTGAGCTGATGGAGCAGTTTCTTGTAAAAGTCAACCTCTGAAGCGACAGGATGAAAGATAGCAAGGTCAGTCACATGATATCAAATCACTAGTCATGTGATTTAGCACCATCCATCCCGGTCCAGGATCACAGTTGATCACAGTTGATCACAGTTGAATTTTTTCATATCCAGTGTCTCTAAACTCCTCTCCCTTTTCACGAGCCGGTGGACTGTTTGAAAAACATGTTAGGCACTGAATTTAGGCCTAGTTACTCGAGGGCTCCACCCTCGCTCGCCTTCGCTTCCTTCTACAACATATGTACTAGCTGTCCTGAGCATTTTATACGCTGATTGTAGATAGGTTGCTTGAAGGGCAGAGCACAGCTTACCGAACTATGACCTGCTGGCTCTATAGCCTCAATTCTGAATTTGGAATGCCTGACCTGCTGCGTTGACATTCCTCCCTTCTTCGAAGCTATTACGCTGGGCCAATGGGCTTGCCGTGGAGAGATAGAGATTTCCTCCTGCTCTCCTTCCTTGACAATTTGCGGCCATCATTGTTGTTATTTTTGATGTTTTTATTGTTGCTTCTTGATGTATTGATTTATTGATTTATTGATTTATTGATTTATTGATTTATTTGTTCTCCGACTCTCCAGAGAGTTGCTCACTTTCAGCTTCATATTATACATACACAGTTTGATATTCCAATCAGCAACACAGAGACCAAATCTTTATCCCAGTATTTTTTCCAGTTATTCTTCTGTGTCTTTCAGTCCATTCTAGATTCCCTCTCTTGTTTCGTCTTCTTCTGTTCTCAAATCTACTTGTCGGTTAGAATCAAGGATCCCAACTCGGTTCTAGTTAATTAGTGCGTGTGTCCTCCTAGAAGTCCAAATCCAAGACACTCTCTTGTCATTCGACTTGGAAGCGCATTCTTCACAATGGCTCCTCAATTGTCTGTTGCTCGTGACTCCACGGATGGTGACACCTCTGTTACCCAAAACCAGGAATGTCTGCACCATCGCACTGAAAGCCAAAGCAGGCGTAGGTCAGCCCGTCATTATCGTCCCCCCCAGCGGTATTATAGTCATCATACCTTTCAAACGCCGACACGGCACTATGAATTGAGGTCCAAATGTCGTATTTCTGCAAGACAACCACTTAGTCGAGATCAGATTAGCAAAAGACCAGAACTGCGACATTCCAACAATTCCGCCAGTAGTGGTGATCAAAACGCAACATGTCTCTCCAGCAAACCATGTACTTCCGAGGGAAGACTTCTTGAGCATCCCATCGATATCCCTCAGATGGTTACTCCAAGCGCCAGGGAGAATACGTTTACCGAAGCTATGAATGGCGCCTTCAACCTTACAAAGTCCCCGCTTTGGTTGGGGAGAAAGTTGGCTGCTGCCACGCTTCCTGAGAAGGAGTCCTGGTTGCTTCAGAACCCGTGCAACCCATTTGGCTCCGACACGAACAGCCACACGGGTTCGACCTCTTCCATGACTGATCAATCCCAGAAAGAAGGTATGCAGCCCCAAAATCCTGTAGCAAAATAGTGACAAACATCCGTATACCTCGCCAATCACTAATCTACCTACTACAGCGCACAATTTATCCAGGCTTGTAAACAGTCAAAACCAACCTGATCGCATGACTGTCGGGTTTGGCCTAGCTCAGAGCCCGACTACAGTTGAGACGGATGAGTTTTCGCGGTTGCTACAATCGATCGAATTGCACTCGCGGCAGTCGAAAGGTCTGGCAGACATGGTATCGAGCTACCTTGAGGGAGACGGAAGCCATTCGGATATTAATTCAGCGGTCGGCGATGTCAATAAATTCTATACCAAGCCACCCCGCCGCCCGAATCAGAGTTCGGAATGTAACCTCCAAGTTGCGTCCCTCCCAGGCGGCGGTGACAGCCCCGACCCACCTCGCGATCACAGCACCCCATTCCGTGGACATATGATAGACCGTATCGATTCAGGCGGACCCGTGGTGGATGTAGAGGACAACAACTGTGGTCCGGCAACGACCACCGTAGCTCCTGAGAATATCTCCCAAGACGAAGGCCCTAGGATTGCCAGGGATCGTCAAGGTTCGTTCTTCATTTCATAATTTTCGGATGAGCTGGCTACTGATACTATGGGAAGGGTTGACTCGAAACCACACCACTGCCGAAAACAACCACACCCCGGCGAGCTGTAACGGTACTTGTACTTATTTCGCTATGCCACTCTATGGGCTTCCACAGGAGCGGTTCTTGAGCACATCCGATTTTGGAGGTTTTTATGATACGTTCCTTCCGAGCGAAAAAACTTCAGATGTCTCGTCGAAAAAAAGACCAGGGCAAAACATCGAAGATGCGTGCCAGTGCAAGCTAGAATCTTCCTTTGGCTGCTGCAGCCAAAAAGCAAAGGCATACGTTGACAAGCCTTACTCTTCAGAAGAGCTCCAGGTCTATTCTCACTGCCGGGAATGCCACCCAAAACGAGTTAAAGTTGATCATTTGGCAGCACAATCCGACTCGGTTTACCATATCTGTGTAGCCCACCAGCCGTTTAAGGCCCCTTTACTTTCGCCAGGCGGAGGAGGTTCACACCCCACCGAAGCTACACCAGGGTACCAGCAAAGTTATGAGTGCGGGCAGAAATCTGCTGTGGTACCCGCTACGGCTAGCCCACAGAGTTGTGCTTGTCCATCTCCATGTTCATGCCCACAGCCTTGTGCATGTGAGTATGTTGCAGATGGTAAAATGACCCTGAGAAATGCCGCCTCTTCTGCACAACCACCACTTGGGATATCAATCAAATCACTTTTGTCTAACCCACAAAATTGTGCTTGCCGACCTCATTGTTCATGCCCATCGCCTTGTCAGTGCGGACAAGATACCTATGCTAAAGTGGGAATGAGAGATACCCATCCTTCTGTACAGCTACCACTTAGGACATCAATTTGCGCTTTCCCCCTTTTTCAAGTTCAACCTCGGAACCCTGATTTTCCTACTGGTGAAGTAATTTCTTCCGAAATTCACCAATGTGGCGGCTGCGAAATGCAAGCCCAAGACTAGGCAGAGAATTTAGAGCATCTCTTGAGCTCTCCTAAAGTTTTATTTTGTCCGCTGTTTGCTCTTCGATTTTCTGTTTTCCGTTATCACAGTGGTTTCTCGGACTGGGGCTACATTTCAAGTGGTGTATTGTGTGATATTGATGTTGCGCAGCACGGAATTCCTCACCCAGGAGTTAAAACTTTTCACTCCCTTTCCTTTAGCATGATATGTTGGTTTGACTATTATTAGCCACCGCAACATTGTCGTGACTTTCACTCATAATATCCACATGTTGCAGTTTACAGTCGTTCAATCTGTCGCGTTAGAAGTACCAATTTGAATCTTCATTCGGTGCACCATAACTGCTAATCTCAATGCTGGGTTTCTAGTTTTCGTCACAACTAGTTGCCAAGTAGTGTAGCGAAAGATTCTCTCAAGTTCTAGCTCCGCGTTCCCACCCCTCCTCTACGCCGGGTATTCCAAGTTTCATCTGCCTAATCGCATCAGATTCACGTTGGCAATCCAAACCGCCAATAATAAGGCAATAACCGGCTGCAGGGTAATCTACTCCCCCTTCTCTTTCAAGGTTCAGTAAATCATTCATCATGTGACGCTAACCAGATTAATTAGATATAATTAGGATCATGAAAGAAAATTTTTCAATATTATATATATTTATCCAACCGTTCCCGTCTATAAAGTAGTAAGGAAGAGTACAAATACATATGGAGGCCGGGCGTGGCTAAAATGTATGCAAGACATAGAAACCAAAAGGTAAAAACTCCACTATATAAAACGGAGAAGAGAGAAGAGAGGTTCGGCTGTTGGGTCACAGCACACTCGTTCTTTTATAATTTTTGTGCGCAGGTATGTGTGTGTGTGTGTGTGTGTGTGCGTGTGCGTGAGAGAGAGAGGAGGTGAGAGTGAGAGAGTGAGAGTGAGAGCACACGCGAAGAGGGACGGATATATACACTGCCTACCAACCACCACCGGCCTTCCCGGCAAGTTCCGCTACACGAGCCATATCGCCCATCCCCCCTGGATCCTTACCCTTTTCCTTGCCCACGTCGCTCTCTACCTTTCGGAAAGTGGTATACACAAGTTTTTCGAGTGGGATATTGGTGCTGCGGGACCAGTGGGACAACAGATCGTCAAATGGACGGTGACCTCTGTCGCGCGCGATAGGGTGGGTGTTGGAGTTGGAATCCGAATCGGAATCGGCTGAGAAGTATGCTTCGTCGACTCGCGCTAGCCAAGCTCGCTGTTCCTGTGGCGTTGATTTTTGGGTAGATTGTGGCTGTGGCTGCTCATCCTGCTGTAGTGGATTGATCGTGTCTTGCTTCGGGGTATTAATGTCTCGTACGTCCTCGACGCGTATTTGCCCACCGCCATTCGTGCATCCACCGGGACACGCCATTACTTCGACATAAGCATAATCTGTGGCTGATGTGTTGTTGGCTGCAGTTGCTCGCCCACTGCCTGCCCTGCGACCTATCATAGGCTTGGCGCCAGGGAGCCTAGATGCGCGGGGGGGTTTTAGTTTCCGGACGAGGTTTTGGATATTACGGAAACCGTAGTAGCGAGCAGCTTTTATAATGGTATCGCCTGAGGGAGATGTTAGGGAATATTCAATCACGTCAGAATTTCGACCACGCTGCGTTTGGATTTGGCTTCCCGGGTTTCGATGTTGGTAAGCTGTGAGGATGTGGAAGAGGTATCCCCCCGACGTGCCAGCTGTGGACGGCTGGGTGGACGGGCCGGATTTAGGAAATAAGAAAGATGCAAGGTAGGGATCAGGGAATAGAGGGGTATATGACGAAGGTAATGGTTGCAATGGGAGGTTTTGGAGCGAGATATTCCGCGACGTCGCTAGCATGAGAACTTCGCGGGATGTAATGACGCAGTCAACATCGCGGACGGGAGAATGTGTGGTAGATGAAGATGATTGCCAGGAAGCATCTGTTAATTCTTGCCGGCTAGCCTCCAGCTTTTTATCGAAACAAGGCATGATGGCCAAGTGCCAAATCTGGGCCGGTGAGATGTTCAATGCCTTGCTCAGCACGGTCTTCAACAAAGTGCCTGTAAGAGCTTGTGGAGATTTTAGACGGGATATGTGAGGTAAGACGTGAGGGTGAGTCTTTTCGGCGTAACATATCCATCCCGGACAGGCGGATGATAAGACTGGGCGCTTTGGGATTGGAAACCCTTCGAGGCTAGGACTTCCTGAGTCCTCCAAAGACTCCATAACTTCATTCACGCTGAGCTCCAAGAAGACCTGCCGCATAACGTTTGTATCAACCACCCAGGCAAAACCATTCCCGTGAGCGCCACCAGCCCTTAACCCTTGGGGGCCACCGAGGAATTGCTCGATCAACCATCCGGCCTTGCGTTCAGATATTCCATATGTTGCGGCCAAGCTTGCTCTGACCTGTGGACTGACACTTGCAATAAATATCTTCTTATCGCCTTCTGCTATGCTCTGCTGGCCTGCAGCAGAGAAACCGGCGTCATCGCGTAATGTTTGAGCGACACCGTGTCCGTTCCGCTCATCAATTCGTAATTCGGGGCACGAGTCCAAGGTGTTAAGCACTTCAGCATGCGACTGTAACGATACCAAAACTGCTTCAGCAGAGGTGACGCAACCCGAACATGCCAGACAATCAGTCAGGGAGATTTGAGCTGGGGGGGGGTTTTCCGGTTCGATCTTGTCTTCTGTTGTAACTTCATATGCATTCTATTACCAGCAAGTTAGCGGAAAAGCTGATTTTCTTTAATTTTTTCTTTTTTTTTTTAAAAAAAAAAACAGGAAACTGCGATGGGCTTTAACATGTATACCTCTGAGTTTTTAACCTCTTTGTGGGGTAGTGTTTCGATGGGCTTTATGCAAGCAACCCCTGGAGAAATGAAGTCATTCAAGTCATCTGCAGACAGAATTGCGCTCATGGTGGCGGCACCAGAGCAACGACACTGTGCCGGTCGTGAAGGCGTCGCACCAAATTTGTAGACCCTAGCTATTCACAAAACTAACGAACGGGGTTATATGTGCCAGCAGAAACAAAAGACAGATGTAGCAAACGTGACAGAATAAATATACCTAGGTATGGAGAAGGCAAAAATTATTTTACTTTAATGGCCGTTGATATCCCGCTGAGTAATTCGGGATGCCGGGCTGCGTCCAAAAAAAGTGGCCCGGTTTCCCCGCGCTAGTCCGATAAGATCGCCTATCAGCAAGCGCGCAAAGCTAATCTCTAGAAAAAAACTTTTCCATGCAAAAAACACTGTAACGTGACATCACGTGCACCTCATCAAAAATATTTGCTCAGAATCTTCTTCAAATCTTCATTCTTTTTTTCATTCTACTCTTTTCATCTATAGTATTTACATTCTTTATACTCTTCTCTATGTTCATGAGAGTTAAATGCTCTATAACAGATTTCATGTAATGTTATGTATATCTCTTTGAATTCATGAATAAGATTGAATAGTCAGCTCTACAGTCTGTACAGCTCTGATTAATCTGATAATAATAATAAGAGTAATACAGAGTAAAAGAGAGTAATAAAGATAATAGAGATAATAGAGATGATAATAATAATAGAGATAATAGAGATAATAATAATAATAGAGTAGAGAGTAAAAGTAGTAGAGAGAGCTGCAGAGTGATAGAGAGAGTGATTGTAAAGAGAGTTAAAAATAGAGAGTGAAAGTGATAGAAGAGGCTATAAGTAATAGAAAGAGTAGAGAGTGAAAGAGATGAAAGAATTGAAAGAGAGAAAAGTAGACTGATTAGTAAGATTATGAATTTTATATTTAATCTCATTTAATCTGATCTTATACATTTCTTAGTATGAGTCTTATCTAGACTGATTATATAACTGTGTCTGAAACCAGAACTAGATTTTTTAATAGTCTTATTATCAATTTGACTGATCTCATTACATGGTTTTAACATTAGATAGTAGTTTCATACTGTTTCAGTAAGACTTACTGTCTACTCTTATTACATTTTTCAAATGAGACTATGATTTTCACTTCTTAATTTAAATTATTTTTATTGCTTTAAATGACTTTAAATCTTATTTAAGTGTTATCAAAAAGTGTTACTTTTTAAAAAATTAAAAATAGTTGAAAAAAAAACCTTAAAATGTCTAAAAATAGTAACTTTATGTCAAGAATGAAACTAAATAAGATTCAATGAGACTACTTTCTTATTTTTTTCAAGTCATAATTTCATTTTAAGATCTGATATATAGTTACTTTTAAACTGATTATGTGATTATATCTGAGATTACAACCAGATTTTTTAATAGTTTTATTATCAATTCAACTGATCTTATTACATGATTTTAACATTAAATAATACTCTCATACTGTCTCAGTGAGACTTCTGTCTACTCTTGTTATATTTTTCAAATAAGATTATGATTTTCACTTCTCAATTTAAATTATTTTTATTGCTTTAAATAACTTTAAATCTTATTTAAGTATTATCAAAAAGTGTTACTTTTTAAAAAATTAAAAATAGTCTAAAAAAAACCTTAAAATGTCTAAAAATAGTAACTTTATGTCAAGAATGAGACTAAATAAGATCAAATGAAACCACTTTCTCATTTTTTTCAAGTCATGATTTCATTTTAAGATCTGATATATAGTCACTTTACATGTTTTTTTAATGACTAGTCTCAGTAGGATTCACATCAAGAAATGTATAAAACCAGATTAAATGAGATTAAACATGAAATTCATGGTTCCGGCGGCTAGTCTAGTCACTTTGCATGTTTTTTTGATAGCTAGTCTCAGCGGAATTCACGCCAAGAAATGTATGAGGCCAGATCAAATGAAATCAAATGTGAAATTCATAGTCCCGGCGGCCAGTCTAGTCTTATCAGAATCAAGTCTTAAAAAAATCTGAAAATGAATCATTTCTGAGAGAAATAATATGAAAAATAATCAGATTTAATTCAAGAACAGTGAAATAATAGTAATTTCTCAGAATAAATAGTAAAAGATAATTATTCTTTTAAAATTAGAATAAGACTGAGACTGAAGATTAAATTCAGTCTTATTTAGTTTATTCAGTAATTACTTATATAATCAGATTTTAGTAATAATTATTAATAACAATTATAAAATAACTAAATATATTCTTATATAAGTTTATTCTTTACTTTCTTATAAAAACTACACTTCTCTGATATACTATAATCAGAGATATTAAACTATCTAATAATTTTATATTTTATAATCATGAATTTGTTAATTATTTCTTCTTATAATTATTTCTAATAATAATAATAAATATCTTAACTTGAGTTGAACTTTTACTTCATTCTTATTTCTATTAATGAAATTATTAGAATATTATATACTATCAGTATAATAATTGAATATATACTCTTAATAATTTTTTATAACTCTAGAATTGATTTAATATATAAATTCATTAAATTATGTTAATAATAGTAATTAAATTCAGTTTTATAAGTATATAGTTTTATCTGATTTTCAGTTATAATTAATATATATAAGTTCTGTTTTAAAGTTAGTATTATAGTTCTATATAATATAAAGTATTATTAAACATTATTATTTATTAGAGAATTGTATTTTACTATCTCTATATCTTTAATATTTACTCATTCAAATCTCTGATAATTAATATTATAGTAGTCTTGAATTAATTTAATATATAAGTCTTATTTCTTCTCTATTCAATCTTAAGAAGTGTAGATATTAATTTAATAGAAGAAATCTAATAGAGCTGTTATAATATAATACTTTATAAAAGATTATTCAGTTTTACTATAATAATATATTAGTTTATCTCTTACAGTAATAATAGTCTATACTATAGTATTATCTCAGACTGAATTTCTTTTTAAGTGATTTAACTACTTTTTAAAATAAATAAATAAACTATTATACACTTATCAGACTAACTATAGTATTAATATATAAATAATTAAAACTATCTTTATTATCTTATAAAACTAAAATAATAAATTAATTATATATTTTAACTAAGTCTACTTGTAAGAGGCCTACGCTAAATAGATCAGTATGATATTGATAGGTCTTATATAACAAAGAGAAAAATGTTTGAGAAGGAAAAGAAAGAGAAAGTACAAGAATCAGTAATTAAAGTGAATATTTATACATGTATGTGATGGCATATGCAGTGAAGCTTCAGAGTGGAAGAATCTATACATGTTAGTAGCAGCTGAGAATTGATGATTGAGAATGATCAAGAATTAGAGTATATGTGTTTAAGAATGAAGCAGTTGAAATCTGTGAAGTGTAACAGAATAGTCTATATAATTGATCAGACATAGCTTGTCACATTAACTCTTCTCTTTCAGAAGCAGTTCTCATCAGTCAAGAACTGCTGTTTCAGATAACATGAAACTCAGAGTTCAGATTGATTGATTATAGCTGACTCATTTCACAAGATATTATCAGTTACAGCTGTAAGATCTCTTATTGAGAATATCTTTAATCTCTCACTCAAGTTCATTGTCTTCTTCTATGATTTCTGATGACTGTCAATCAGAAGTTAGTTGAGAAGAAAATGAGTCAGTAATGACACAGTGAAGCAAGCTTGTATAAAAGACATTATGAATTTCTGATGATATGTTAAGACAGTAGTTGTGACTATCTAGAACTTCTATCACTTTATACCTGATATGATGATAATCTAGTGTATGAGATGAATATGTGATTTGTATATTCTTAAGATTCAATTATATAAGATCTTCTATCTTATACTGCTCTGTGAGATC